TTTTTTTTTTTTTTTGCTTCTAGTCTTATATTACAGGGATAGGAGAACAAAGTTAATATGTATATTTAAGATTAATTTTATTTTTTTAAAATAACCTGATTTTAGTAGTCTTACCTTTATCATAGCTTCTGTCTCTGTACCACAACAAATGAGAATAAATTGGACCGAGGTCGAATTAGTTTAGATTTAGCATATCAATGAAAAAGCCAGTTGATGTATATTAAGAACTTAAGCAAATATTGAACTTAAAGGGCATTTTCGCTAGCTTTTGTCCTATATTGGTAAGTATGAAATTGTTATCCAATAGAGTGATTTAGAATTGAAGAGCTGATATGGCCCAGTTTCCCTAGGCCTAAAATCTTAGATTAGTTTTTGGTGGGGGCTAGAGGTGCATACATGAGTAGGAGGTAAGGGACGAGGATTGTTTGTTTTAAATGATAGTGACTTTTTCTGAAACTATTTGTGTTCCATGTGTTACTTCTGTGAATTTGGCCAAAATTAATTTGACTGAGTAAAGTTAATTTCTAAAGAACATTTTAGGGAAAATGTGGCTTTATAGATACAAGAAAAGCAAAAGAGGACAGTAGACCTTACTAATAAGAGAAATTAAATGAGATGACAAATACAGCAGAGTGGATTTATCTACATATAGATGGGCAGGCTGTGGCTCACACCTGTAATCCTAGCACTCTGGGTGGCTGAGATGGGAGGATCATTTAAGCTCAGGAGTCCACGACCATCCTGAGCAAGAGGGAAGACCTCCATCTCTACTAAAAATAGAAAAATTAGCTTGCATTGTGGCTGACATCTGTAGTTCCAGCTACTGTGGAAGCTGAGACAAAAGGATCACTTGATCCCAGGAGTTTGAGGTTACTGTGAGCAAGGCTGATGCCAGGGTACTCTAGCTTGGAGCAACTGAGTGTCTGTCTAAAAATAAGTAAATAAACCTATAGATACAAGGTACTTTTGACTTACTAGTTTGATCAGCATATCTCTTGTTCTGGTTAATTTAAAATGTCCACAATCTCTAAGAACTCTTTGGAAAAAATTACTGTGGTTTCTGGTTGATTGGATTTTTAATACTAATAGTGCCTACACTTTAAAATATGCAATATAATATAAATACTATTCAATTATGCTTTTAAAAATATTGCTAAGGGTTTTTTTTGTACTTTTAGTAGAAAATGAGAATTAATGAGTTATATTTAAATATGTGTTAGTTAGAAATAATCCATTAACAGTAGTACCCATTAATTATTAAGCATAGACTGGGTTATGTCACTGTGCTATAATATACCTATCATGTTATTTCCTTTTTTTTGGGAGACAATCATGCTCCATCACCTGGGCTAGAGACCACAGCCTGCTAAGGACAACAGATGCACACACCATCATTCCTGGCTAATTTTTCTATTTGTAGCAGAGACAGGGTCTAACTCTTGCTCAGGCTGGTCTTGAACTCCTCAGCTGAAGTGATCCTCCCACCTTTGCCTCCCAGAGTGCTGGGATTATAGGTGTGAGCCACTGTGTCCAGCTGTCAAATTACTTCTAATCCAAAAATGTAAATATTTTCCCCTTTTTATAAAGTAACTCTGATTTAATGCTGTTTATTACTGTTTGCTTCATGAATGTTCAGTTAGTAAATGCTAATATTAATAGATCCCCAGCATCAAGCTAGAAAAGGGATTCTTCTGTACTTCAATTTTTTTTTCACGAGACTTTTAAGTATTCTGTGTCCATATTTTGTTTCCTCTAGTCACTTACTCTTGCTCTGCCAGACCTTTTGAGAGAATTCCTAGATTTGATTGAGTTTAGTTGACTTGGATTAGGGTCTTTTTCCTTATTTTATTTAGTACTGCATTTTGGGGGGGGGATGGCCATCTGTACATCTTTTGCCTTTTTTATCTTATGTAGGACTTTTTTTCCCCATTTTTGTTATTCCTTTACTTTCCTATTGTTTTGCCATGTTTTATTTGCTGTTGTAATCTTTTCCATCGCATTTTTTCTTTTTGAGACAGAGTCTCTTCAAGCTGTCGCCCTAGATAGAGTGCTGTGGCATCACAGCTCACAGCAACCTCCAACTCCTGGGCTTAAGCAACTCTCTTGCCTCCGCCTCTCAAGTAGCTGGGACTACAGGTGCCCACCACAACGCCCGGCTATTTTTTGGTTGTAGTTGTCATTGTTGTTTAGCAGGCCTGAGCTGGATTCAAACCTGCCATCTCTGGTGTATGTGGCTGGCACCTTAGCTGCTTGAGTTACAGACGCTGAGCCCACATTTTATTTATTTTTTTTAGAGACAGAGTCACCCTTGGTAGAGTACCATGCTGTCACAGCTCATAGCAACCTCCAGCTCTTGGGCTTAGGCGATTCTCTAGCCTCAGCCTCCCGAGTAGCTGGGACTACAGGCGCCTGCCACAATGCCCAGCTGTTTTTGTTGCAGTTTGGCTGGGGCCAGGTTCCAACCTGCCACCCTCAGTATATGGGGCCAGCACTCTACTCACTAAGCACAGGTGCTGCCCGTTTCCAACATTTAAATCTGGTTTTAATGTTATTTAGTAGAAAAATTTCTAATGAGAACATGCCACCAGCATTTTCCTGTTATAGACATTTTTCCTCAAAGCATAAAACTCTGTTAGAGAGTCATCACATTTTAAAACCCGAAAGGCTGGTAAAGTGTATATTGTATGTTGTTTTCTGACTTCAAGTGCTCACTTTTCATCCAATGTTGGTTTTTTTTTTTTTTAGGTACAAATATGGAAATTACTTTTCTTTGATATTGGTCTGCTTCTTTTCAGTATCTTAGTATGCTAGAAACACACAAAAGGCTCAGTGCCTGTAGCTCAAATGGCTAAGGCACCAGCCACATATACCAGAGCTGGCAGGTTCAGATTCAGCCTGGGCCTGCCAAACAACAATGACAACTACAACTAGAAAAAAACAAAATAGCCCGGTGTTATGGCACCTGTAGTCCCAGCTACTTGGGAGACTGAGGCAAAAGAATCACCTAAGCCCAGGAGTTGGAGGTTGCTGTGAGTTGTGATGCCACAGCACTCTACCCAGGGCAACAGCTTGAGGTTCTGTCTCAAAAAAAAAATAAAGAATGACACATAAATACTCAGCTTTATTGCTCTCAGTATTATAGCACTTCTAGTGTTGTGAAAGTATTTTACAGTGTTACTCTTACTAATAACATTATGTCATTCACTTACAGGGTGTGTTTGACCATCGAATGAAGTGCTGGCAGAAATGGGAAGATGCTCAAATTACTTTGCTCAAAAAACGTGAAACCGAGGCAAAAATGATGGTTGCTAACAAACCAGATAAAATACAACAAGCTAAAAATGAAATAAGAGAGGTGATTACTAAATGCTTTATTTCTTTACTCAAATTTTTCATAAGTCATTCATATGTACATAATTTTGCATAACTTTCTTTCTGAATCATTGAATACTTAGCTATTTTTCCATATTTTTATGAACCGTGTTGAATTATGTTAACATTTTGATCATCATTAAAATCTCAAAACCCTTTGTACCTCCACATGATTATGTACTAAATAAAGAAGCATACAAAGACCTAAAATTAACATTTACATTAATTATGATTTCTTTTTAGGTGTTTAATTTTATTTCAGATAATTACTTATTTTGTGTCTAAAAATGGGTTTAGAGAGAGACCTAACCCACATTTAGCTGTCTAGGCAACATTACCCCCCATATATATGTATTATATATGGTATTTCAGTAAATCTGTGTAAGTTTATTATAATTTATACACTTTTTTTGCCATGCTTCAATAAGGAAATTGAAGAGGTAGGACAACCTTTATATTACTAAAAATAAATGTACCTGCTCTTTGAAGAGTATGTACCAGTGTCTTGGTCACATAGTGGGAAAAATATCATTTCATTGCTTAAAAGTTTTCAGTTATTTTATTTTAGCTGTTCCATTGGTCACTACTCACATTTTATTTCTGTACTGAATTTAATGTTTACAATGGATCTTCAGTACAACATAATTTCACTTTTTTAAAAAAATCTGGTCATTTTACCATTAAAAAATTTGTTTTAATGTTTGTCATATTTCTAGTTTGAAGTATTTTCATGGGCATATAAATTGTATTGAACACATTCTTGAAATTAACAATAATATTGATATATTCTGAAATGATGATATAAAGAAGAAATGAGAAAATTACACTTGTAACACTGCTAGTTTATCACATAGTAAATTTTATATCCCAAATCTTTCCTCTTATTTATATTTAACTAAGCTTTGAATATTGGAATTTGTTAAATATAGTATTGGAATATTCTAATCTTAAGCAAATCTGGAAGTAAAATGAAACTGAAAAATTGACATGCATTTCTGTTACTAGAAAGTTAGTTGGCTCGGCGCCTGTGGCTTAATCGGCTAAGGCGCCAGCCACATACACCTAAGGTGGTGGTTTTGAATCCCCAGCCTGGGCCCGCCAAACAACAATGATGGCTGCAACCAAAAAATGGCCAGGCGTTGTGGCGGGCGCCTGTAGTCCCAGCTACTTGGGAGGCTGAGGCAGGAGACTCGCTTGAGCCCAGGAGTTGGAGGTTGCTGTGAGCTGTGATGCCATGGTACTCTACCCAGGGGGATAGCTTAAGGCTCTGTCTCAAAAAAAAAAAGAAAGTTAGTTACACATTTGAGTGATACTAAATTGGGCTTTTTATTTATTTATTTATTTATTTTGCAGTTTTTCCCGGGGCTGGGTTTGAACCCACCACCTCCAGCATATGGGGCTGGCGCCCTACTTCTTTGAGCCACAGGCAGCCGCCCTCAATATTGAGCTTTCTTAAGTTTTAGGAGCATAATGTTTAAATTAAAAGAGTAGTCATAACAGCTAGTACTATGGTTTTTTATCCCAGACAGCAATAAAATATTAGTTTCTTTTTTTGTTTGTTTTTATTAGTGGGAGGCGAAAGTACAACAAGGAGAAAGAGATTTTGAACAGATCTCTAAAACAATTCGAAAAGAAGTGGGAAGATTTGAGGCATGTATAATAATTTTGTACTTCTTGTAATAGCATGGTCACATTTTGTTGCAATTTTATGGTAAAATTTATTTTTCTACTAATGGACTTTTTCATGTATTGCACTTTAATAGAAAGAACGAGTGAAGGATTTTAAAACTGTTATCATCAAGTACTTAGAATCATTAGTACAAACACAACAACAGGTAAGTTGATTTTTTTTTTAGTAACTTTTAGAATTTTTGGTATACATTTTAATTTTAAAGAAGATGATCAGTGAAATAGGTTTTAAACTCAAGGAAGAATAAGAAATGGAGAAAGGAAACCAATGACAACAAAGGAAAAAAGGGTAGTTAAGGAACTGGAAACTATCGCCGGCCCTTTTCACAGTGTCAGGCCATAAGGAACTTTATAGACAACTTGCCCTTCCTCTGTCTTTCTCATTTTCTTTTCCTGTTAGTCAGAACCGATTTGAACAAATTCTCATAGTAAGTTCGTCGATAACTATCTATTTTTTAACTTTGAAAAAAATGTACTGTTTTAATTCTTGCTTTATTTTGTTTGGGGTTGTCCGTGGTTGAATGCTGCAAGTGGCATTTTTCTCATTAGAGACCATTGGTTTTAATGCTATAGTCAATAAAAATCAATAACAAGATAATAACAGTGTTTTTCTGTTTATTTTAATGTAAATTTGAATAATAGATCAAATAGTGTAATGTTTTGAAGAGAAAGATTTCTTCTAGTTTTAAAATATACAATCTAGAAACTTGTTTTTGTAAAATATAGGTTGTGTTTTGAATTAACTGATTATGGTATCTTCAAATCCTCTTAGGCTGGGGTACAGTGGCTTGATGGTATATGAATAATATAAATAAGTCATATAAGCTTATTTTTAAAGGAATTATCTTAAAGGTAACTTTTGTCTATACTTCAGTCTATTCTCTGCACAGTCCAGGGAAGACTAGCAGCTAATTCTTTCCAGTCCCTTGTTTTTTCTTTTTTACGCAATGTTCTCTTTTCTTTTTCCTTTTTTTATTTCTTAATTTGTTTTCTTCCTCCTTTTATCTTGTTCTTCTTGTCTAACAATAACATAAAATGTGAATATCCTCTGAATTAGGAGATGTTATCACTTTATGTTGGAAAAAGTAATCATAGTTGTATTAAGGTAATCTTTAATATGTAATAATCTGTGTCTTTATATAATTTGCATGAATCAAAAAACTTACAAGTTCTCACAATTATATTGTTCACATTAAAAACTGAAGTTAGGAGTAACTGGTGTTTTAAATAGTTGATATGTGAATTATATTGACAGACTTCAAATAAGGAGGTAAAAATGATCCCTTTAAGAACCAGACATTAGTAAATGTTAATCATTGGTAGCTATTTACATAGGGTTTTGTTTAATGCTGTAAAGGATATATGCTTATAAATGACCAAAAATTAATAAGAATATATTTTATTATCATCCACAGCTGATAAAATACTGGGAAGCATTCCTACCGGAAGCCAAAGCCATTGCCTAGCAATAAGATTATTCCTCTTACGAAGATCTTGGATGTTTGTTCCAGTTATGCTGAATTCCACAGTGAAATCATTTAAGACCATCTAAATAAACCACTATATATTTTATGAATTACATGTGGTTTTATATACATATATATGTACACACATACACTCTGACATTTTGTTACAAGCTGCATGTCCTGACCCTCTTTGATTAAGTGTGGACTGTGGCATGATATTCTGCAATACTTTGCTGAATTGAACACTATTGTGTCTTAAATGCTTGCACTAAAAAGTGCACTGCAAGGCCAGAAAATTTTACATTTTTTTTTCTTTACAATATGTTCTGAAGTATGTTTACCCTCATTATGAAGTGAATTATCAATGCATTGATTAATGTTCACTTATACATTCCTGTACAGAAATTATGATTTTGTGATTACAGTAATAAAATGATATTCCTGTGAAGTATTAGTAACAAATTATTTGGGTATATAAACATATCAGGGATATTTTGAAGGCATTTTTTAATTGGAAGAAACTTTTTCTTCTAAATGTTTATGGATGATGCTGTGATTCCTAAACTATTTTAATTAACAGGAAAAACCAAACTCTTATATTTTTATTTATTTATTTTTCTTTTCTTCAGTTTTGAACTTTAGTTTAAATCTGAACTTAGAACCATGTGACCATTACATATTCCAAATTGATAACTAAATTTTCATAATTTTTAAGGATATTTAAATCTAATGCTTATGTTATGGTAGCACAAACTAGGACAGGCTGCCTCACTCTAAGCATTTTTTTATTATTTTTATTAAATCATAACTTTGTACATTGATGCATTTATGGGGTTCAGTATACTGCTTTGATATACAATGTGAAATGCTTACATTGAACTAAGTAACAGCTCCATCATAATTATACTCTTAATAGTTTAGAAATGTACCATTGCATCATGCACATTAGGTCAAAACTCTTGCATTCTTAAATAACTAAATGAAGCTTTTGCTTTCTTAAGAAACCATCATAAAGAACATTTATCTCTAGGATATCTTGGGTTTAAGGAAGAGAATAATTATCTTGGCTTGTTTTTATCCATTCCTATTTTAATTGCTCAACCTAAGAATTAGGGGGGAAATGTATTTGTGTGCTTCTGTTACAAGTCCCATAGATTGTGCTCATCTTTTATTACCTTCAGAATCTAAGACTTTGAATATGTCTAATTTCTTTCTTATCTTTTAAAAAAAATGTAGTCTGGGGGCAGTGGCTCACGCCTGTAATCCTAGCACTCTAGGAGGCCAAAGCAGGTGAATTGCCTGAGCTCAGGAGTTCAAAACCAACCTGAGCTAAAGCAAGACCTGATCTCTAAAAGAACGGCCAGGCATTGTGGTGGGCACCTGTAGTCTCAGCTATTTGGGAGGCTGAGGCAAGAGGATCGCTTGAGCCTAAGAGTTAGAGGTTGCTGTGAGCTTTGATGCTACAGCACTCTACTGAGGGTGACAAAGTGAAACTCTGTCAAAAAAAAATTAAAATAAAATATTTAAAAATTTTTTAAAAACCCTAAAAGTACATCATCTGTGGTAATAATTGACAGGGAATGGTACCATACTTAAATATACCATGATTTGATAAATAACCAACCATAACATAAAGCAAATTTGAAGTAACATGAAATTTACTTTGTCTTTGGCAATTTTCATACCTATTCTGTGTGATTCTTAGACTGCTGTCATCTAATCCATAATGCTGATGAAAATTTAAATCATAACTAGAATTAGAGTTTTTTTACAAGTATTCTTAAAAACACCCTTCATCTCAAGCTTAACACCTACATCTCCCTTCCAGAGGAACAAGATAGAGTGTGTGTAACCAAGTCTTCTCTTGTGACGTACTGGATACAGGTAGTATATCAGAGTATCCTCAACATGGGTTTGCTTCCACTTATTTTAGTGGAAATGTTAAGACTACTATAGGTGTTATTCATATTTATACTCCTAGACCCCAGAAGGGTACCTGACACATAAGTTAATAAAAAGACTTTGGCCAGGCACAATGGCATGCACCTGTAGTCCTAGCTAGGGAGGTTGAGGCAGAAGGATCTCTAGGGCCAGGAGTTCAAGGCTACAGTGTGCAATGATTGTGTCTGGCAATAGCCATTGCACTGCAGCCTAAACACACATATTGACCCTGTCTCCAACAAAAGTAATCAATGAATTGAACAGGAGAAAAAAAAGATCTCAGAGGATGCAAAATAATGATTGCTCTTTTTAGAATAAACTGAAGCAGAAATAGTATTTTTTTTGTTGTTTTTACTATAGGTAATTTAATTACTTTTGAGAGTGAATAATTCATAGTAATATAGATAGCAGATGCTATCTTGTCTCATTAACTGAGCAAAAAATAGGCTTACAGGAATAGGGTTCCACTAGAATGATGTACTAGTATATATCCATGGAAGATTTTAATAATAATAAATAAATAAGTTATCCCACATACAAAGTATATACCTTTGTAAGTACACTTACAAATCTTCCATTCAGATGTATATTCATTAGAATATTCAATACCACCAATTAAAATAAATAGTTTCAGTCTTAAGCTGAAGAAAATAACAGACCCAGACTCCATTCCAGACATCATGTCCCTTGCCATTTACTAAAAGTAAGTTGTGTTGGAAATTTCAAGTAAATTATGTGAACCTCTTTTACCTATCAATATTTTAACAGGATTTAACTATTTCAACACTCAACTTGTCAGTTTTTATTTCTCCTGTTCCTTTTCCTAAAATGCTTTCCTTCCAAATAAAATGAGCATTAGTATTGCTAATATCATACCCTTTTAGATTTACTCTCTAAATCTGAACTTATTTCTTGTGAGATGGGATGTTAAAGACTAAGGCCTCATAATATGAGAGAACAAGTTAAACTAGGGGGTCAACCACTTGGTAGCTGTATGACTTGGGGCATATCATGTGAATCTCTTAAGTACATAAAACTCTTGATTCCTAAAGTGCCTTTCTGCTTTAAAATATTTTGTTTAAAATACCAAACTTCAATATAAATATTCTATTAGAAAACCAAATTTTAATCAAAGACTACCTCCTCTTAAGTAAAACAATGCTAGAGCAAAATGAATGTAAAAGTATGATTTCTAATACAGAAGAATTTTTATTGTATTTTTTTACTGAACTGTTTTCATCTTGTTTTAGACATATATATTAATCTCAAAATGCCCTTGTTTCATTGTTGCTACTGAATTTTTTTTTCTTTTTATACAGATCAAGTAAAGTTTTCCAAGTTCATTGTGCAAATTGTTTCATCAGTGGTTTTTAAATATAAAGTAAGCCTCTTAATATGATCAGCTTTATTCAAAGGAAGTAAGTCAGATAAGTAGAGGAGGAAAGTATATGTATTTAAAGATGCTTAATGTCTAAGAGAATTACAAAGATGTCCAGTGTTCTGACTATGCTAGATGGCTCCTTCACTTTTCTGGTCATGGTTCCCTTCTTGAACAGTCAAGTGTTTAACAATAGTCAGGGAGACAGAAGATGTTCAGTAACTGCAGACAGCTGATGAAAGTGTTTATTTAGCTGAGAGTGGTGCCAGGTGACTGTAGTCCCAGCTACTTGGGAAGGTGAAGTAGGAAGATCACTGGAGCCTAGGAGTTTGAGACAAGTCTCAAGGTGTTGGGGGGAGGGAGGGTTTAAAGGAAGGGTGGGTCATGGTATGGAGGAGGAAAAATAACACTTGGGAAAAGGAAGTTCAGTCATTTGCTTAGGAACTTTGGAGGCATTTCCATATCATATTCAGTAGTCAAGAAATGTTGATACCTGTGTGTGTGTGACATATTCTTTGTTTCAAAGTATTAAAGACAGTAGAACTACCATCCCCCTTCTCATATAAAATTCAGAGTAAAATAAGTTCCTAGCCCTCATAGTAATGGATTGGGTTTTTAATAATCTAATAAAAATAGATCAAGGGTCAGACATGAAAATAGCAAGTAAAAGGAATTACAACAAGAGAAATGTGAATAATTGTTCTTTGCCTAGAGTTTGTGATCAGGGCCATGAAGAGAGGTCCTGGCAATCTGTAGATGAGATCTTGACAGTTCAGATCAATATAGGCAGTGGCTCACATCCATTAGCCCAGCACCTTGGGAGGCCAAGGCAGGAGGATTACTTGAGGGCAGCAGTTCAAAACTACATCTCTACAAAAAATAAAATGCTGGGGATGGTGGCGCACACCTATAATCCTAGCTACTAAGAAGGCTGAGGTCAGAGGATCCTTTGAGCCCAGGAGTTCAAGGCTGCAGTTAATTATGATTGTGCCAATGCCCTCCAGCCTGGGCAAGATAGCAAGACTGTTTCTAAACAAAACAAACATTTACACCAATAGAAATGTAATGTGAGCCACATAAAGCCAAATGTTAAAAAAAAGAATGAAACAGGCCCAGGTGCTGTGGCTCACACCTATAATCCTAGTCCTTTGAGAGGCCAAGGCAGGAGGATTGCTTGAGCTCAGTAGTTCAGTACCAACCTAAGCAAGAGTAAGGCCCAATGTGTACTAAAAATAGAAAAAAATTACCTGGGCATTATGGTGCTTGCCTATAGTCCCAGGTACTGGGAAAGCTGAGGCAGAAGGATCTCTCCAGCTCAGGAGTTTGAGGTTACAGTAGCTGTAATGCCACTGTACTCCAGCTGGGTTAACAGAGTGGGACTCTGTCTCTAAAACAAAAAACCACATCAGGTTTGAATTAATTTTAGTGTTAAATCCAGTAAGTTCCAGGGTATTAAAAGTTACTGGGATATTTTACCTTCTGTTTTTGAATTGTCTTTGATATCTGGCATTTTACATATTCATTATGTCTTTTTTCGCCCTGGGTAGAGTGCCGTGCTATCATAGTTCACAGCAACTTCAAACTCTTGGGGTTGAGCAATCATCCTCTTGCTTCAGCTTCCCAAGTAGCCGGATCTACAGGCCTTGCCACAAGGCCCAGCTAGATTTTCTATTTTTAGTAGAGACAGGATCTCTCTCTTGCTCAGGCTGGTCTTGAGATCCTGAGCTCAAGCAATCCACTGCCTCGGGCTCCCATAGTGCTAGGATTACAGGTCTGAGCCCCCACACCTGGCCCTGACTAGCCACATTTTTTAAGTGATCATTTTTAACTTGTAGCTAGTGGCTATGATACTGAACAGCACTAGGTTAGACAATGCCTATGGAAGTGAAAATGTAAAGTTAGGGCCAACAGCTATTTTTCCACTCTGAACCCAATGAAGAAATCAAGGCTGAATAAAAGGGACTCCTATTTAATTGCCTTCAAAAGACAGATGAAATTTAGGTATAAAACTTTGTAGCATAATACTTCACAGGTAGTAGATACTCAATGTCTGCTATGAATATATTGTGGCGTCGCATTGCCAGAAGGAAATTTACCCTATTTAAGTTAAGACTGTCTCTTAAC